TATAAAATCTCAAGCACTGTCTGCATGCACATATATAACAAGCTAGAAATCTCTTCCACTGGAAGAATTTTCAACTGTGTGTGAGTTGATCTAACTGCAGCTCATTCATATAAATAAGTTTCATATCCAATAGCTGCACAAGAGCTGCCTCTTTGCCCTCTACCCCCAGGGAAAATTCCTTTTTATTTTTCCTTCCTAATCACGATTCCTCTCTGAAAGTTTCTTACCATTATTCCAAGGTTTTTTGATGTAACAGATACGGTTTGAAAGCACCAGTATTTTAGCACAGTTTTCTCTGTGTTACTGGTGCTTTAACTAAATCAAGCACATTTTACTGAAACTTACATTTCTATAAGACCAAAACCTCCTCCCATGGAAGGCTGAGCACCACCATTTTTTTCAAGGTATGAATGGAAGATGACTGAGGTCTGACATGCTCCATTACTGCTTTGAGCTCAAGACAGAGCAGATCACTTACACTTCAGACAATTTCTCCAGTGCAGATAATCAAGACTAAAATACATTTTAGACCAGTCTTGAAGTTACAAGCAAGTTCATGGTTTTCCTTCTCAAAGAGAAGCATGCTTTCTGTGTGTAGTTCATATATCTCCATAGTATATATAGCAGAGATTCAGTATAATACATCATTCTGAAAAAGATGTGGCTGCACTAAAGTGGACTTACACAGAAGACAAATTCATTTACTTACTTTCAATATCTGCAAAAATGCATTCAGGTACTTAAAAATCTTTCTCACAAAATAATCCTTGGCACCTGACCAAGCTAGTTTTCCTCATGATTGTGAAGCATTTCCATTATTTGTTCCATATTAAACACAGAAATAGAGTCCATTAGGACTGCAGCATCACCTTAAATGTTTGGCTAAGTCACAGAAACAAGTCTCATGTAACCTCAGCTGAAGCAGGTCACACTAGAGATTAGGTTGCTGTTGATTGGTCTGAATTCTTTTGCCTGTTTTCAGTCTACTTGTTTTTCAACATATTGAAACAATAGTACATAAAGTGAATACTCTTAATCTGCTTTTCAGTCCTGGTAACACGAGTTTTCTAAGTATCTCAGTCTGTCACTACCAGTCACAAAGCATCCCTTCACAGAAGTGTGATCTGTCATGATAAAAAAAGCTGAAAGCTGATTTCACACCTCTGCTTGTTAAGTATTTTCTAAAGCAAATAAAGCTCTTTACTTAAAAAATAATTAAAACTAACTCTTCATTAACAGTTAAAATTGCCTAGGTAAATTTGGTCACAGCTCTAATTTGCACACTGGCATTGAATAGTTTTATCGAGCTTCTTCATTTCATGCTTGCAATGGATCACTTTCTGATTATTTCTCTTCTACATGTATTTTCACTGGTAAGCAGTCATGAAAAGACAATGGCAATACCCTTTAAAATCTTGATAACCAATTGAAACTCCTCCCATTGATTGAGTGGCACTTTGCCACTGCTGCCTAAGAGGTTGCAGACCTGGACTTTGAACTTCTATTTCCTAATTCATTCTTCTTTTACTCTTTTACCAACACATACTACAACTAGACTTCACCCTCACTAGAATCCTTTAGTTCTGTATTGCAGCTCTTTTCAAAAGCACTTTATTTCTTTTTTTTTCTAAAGGATACAACTGAAAATCATGGATATTTCTGCTCTGATGGAGTCAGAAAAGATAATGGATCTGAAGCAAACTCAGAACTAACAACTTTTGGATGGTGTGTACTTGAGTGATTTGTACAAGAAATTCCATCTTAAGTCTCCCTACCAAGTTCCTTCATCTGTTTTTCCACAACTGTACTTTTAAGTACTAAATGATTTGAAATTTCCAACTAGTCTTATTTATTCAGATCTTGACAGAAAACCAAGGACATGATTGGGGCATATTTGTACAACTGAACACCTTTTGTTCCAACTAATTAGGGACTCTAGGCTACCTGCTTATCTCACCATCCCAGAAGCAACTCAACAATATGCCCATATTCTGCTTAAGCCCCTTCTTCAGAGCATCATTTAGTACTTTCATTGACAGGCTGAAACAAGTTCCCTAAAAAACCCATTCAGGGTAAATCCACTGGTTTACTCTGACCAAGGGGATTCCTACCAGCATGCTCTTTGTCAAACCTCTTTAGAAGAAAAAAAGGAATTACTACACACTTTTCTAAAGCTGTCTGTCTTTGCTGGACTAATAACATCCCTGCATCCTCTTTCTTTTCCTCATGAGCAGCTTCCACGTATAAGTGAAGATGACTGACACGCTCTGACCTTTAAGGGTAACAAGGAGAAACACACCAGAAACATCTGGCACGTTTCCATTGGCAAACACAGTTCATTAGCATTGTTTCATACACATAAGGAAAAAAAACAACAACAAACTAATGGCTAATTTCAACATAGTGGCTTTTGGGCTTCTGCTGTCTCACCCAGCCCCCTCTGGCATAGTTTCATTTCCTCACTAGAAACCAACACATTTTCAAACATCCAGATGATTAAGTCAGAATTACTATGGCAACTAATCAGCCCAACATTAATATTTTGTTGGAATTTCACATATTTGTCTATTTTTGAGCAATTTAACTGATTTAATGAAAAATAAACTCATAAATCAGTTGGATAAATAAGTTTGGGTTTTGGTGGGTAATGGGTGTCATTAATGTAATCTGTTTTACATTCCTCTTGCCAGCTGAGTTTCTTTTGTTAATAAGCAAAATCTAAACTTATCTAAAAGCACCACTGCCACACAAATGGTCTGCATCAAAGTGGCAGGGAGGCCCTGAAATTCAGACAGTTTTTTTCACGCTATTTTATTTTCTGTCTTTTACTAAATGTAAAATATTTAAAAATAAACAGTAGAAAGTGAGAGTTAACTCAGAGAACCAACAGTTGCCTGAGTAGAATTCAGTACTCCTAATTTAATCATGCTTCTCTTTCTTTTTCTTTTTATTATTTTTTAGTTTTTTCAGTATTCCTCCAGGAGAAAAAAGGCAGCAAAAAACAAAATTCCAAACATTCAATGAAAGAAACAACATTTTTTTAAAATATATTAAATATTCTTAGCTGATTCAAAATATTTTAAGGTGCACAGATGGCAAAATCTGCAAAGTTCTAGGGAATACTGTGATCACTAAAGCACTATTTTGTGCTTTATTATCCATTTTTAATTCTCATTCCTTGAGTATATATGCATTAAGCATAGGAAACAAATCAGTGCTCGCTGCTTGTGTGCAGCAGCCTCTTGTCTAGCTAGAAGGATTGATACAGGTTTCATATTTTTGCTTTTGCCCCACCACTCATTCTATACTTAGCAATATGATGGCTTGCAAAGAACTTGTATTTTTTCATGGAACTCTATTCTTTCCTTGTTTGCCCTATGGTTTCAATTTTTTCTTTTAAGACATCAACAACACTGGGCAAGAGGGGGGCTCAAATGAAAACAGGAAAGAAAAACGCTTTTGAAAAAAAATTGTCTTTCAGGTATTTCCATCTTTTGGCATACCAAGGAAATCAGGGACAAAATCCTGCTGCTTTCCTGACATGGTGATACATCTCTATTGGAAAACAAAAGCCTGAATTCACAGACACACTAATCAAGTTGAGGGTTCTCCTACAGAACTTTCCAACTACATTTTGCACAACAGGATGCCAGCGAGCATGCTGAGCAGAGTGCTCTTTAACAGGTTAGAAAGCACTATAGCCTATTAGGGTATACATTCACATTGCTCTGGATAATCTACTACATTGCTTGCATATAACTCACACTGCTTCAAAAAAAGGCTCCTCTAGGGAAATGTTTTTGTCTTAATTTAAGTGTATACTTTACCAGATCAGATAGGAGGGCCATTTGTGGTTTGATGCATTAGGTTGAAAAAAACTACTATGATTTTCCAGTAAAAAAATATTCAAGGCTTATACTGAACATATTAAGGTGGAAAGCCATGGGTAAAGTAAGAAGCAGCTGGTAAATGAGGACAAGTAGCAGTGTTAAAAAGAGAAACAGCAATGTTTTTCTTTTAAGAAGGACATCAGTAACTACCATAAATTCTGCATGAGTGGTAAACATGCATTTCACTGTTGACCCAGATGAGAAATAGATGTTTAAGTGTTGAAAACCAACATATGGTAAATTTTAGCAGTACTGTTTGAGCAAGTATGACTAGTCATCTAACTGGCAAACTCTTCCAGAGGAGGAAACAAAACAGCATTGAAAGTACAATTATTGATTACTGCATGGCAGAAGACAACACAGAGAGGCCAGAGATGGCACTCAGAACTGTCACCGAGGCCTGTGCCCTACATGGCTGGAGTACCACACACTCCTCGCTGCATGAGGACACAAGAGCTTAGTCCCCCATGCTGTGGCAGAAATATCAACACATAAATGTACTAACCATTTCGCATTTCACATTCTGCTGCTCATCTGTATCAAGAGTGGCCAGACACAATTTATCTCACTGCAACATTTCAACAGATAGATAGAAAACATGACTTGACATGATATTTAGACCATGCATTTCAGGACATTGTGGTGCAGTTACTTTACAGATTTCAGAGATAGTTTGATAGAAGTTCAATGGGTAAAAACAGCATTTATTGAAAAAGAAAGGAAGTTTTAGTATGAGACATGCATCTGACAGAGATGTATCTGCTAACATTTTCACATTAACAGAGTCTTCTTTATCTCTGTTAAAAGATATCCATTACTAAAAACGTAGGTAAATTACAAATTCCTTTGACAGCTTGACAATAAAAAAGTAAAAAATATAACTACATAATACTTTAATGGCAACTTCACTAAAAGATCTGCTTTTGTCCAAGCAGAATTTTGTATTCACAAATCAAATGCATACATGATGTTCAGACAGGTTTTCTGCTAAAGATAAATTACAGGAATTACATGCAGAAAGCAGAGTGGAGTTTCAACTGCCTGTAAGAATGAACAAATTTACCATTTCCAAAGGGCAAATACTTTTTCTGGAAATTTTGTAAGACAGTATCCGCAATTTAGTCTTCAATAACTGCAGCCCCTTGAAAAGCAGATACACATTCCACAAACACGTGTTATCAACAAAAAGGCAGATATACCACTGCTGTGAATACTCACCTCATAACTGGCAGCTGCTTCTCTATCAAGGACTTGGGTCACGGAGATATCCCCAGTGTTCTCATTGATTTTAAAAATTCCTTTTGGGTCTTCATCTGCTCCCTTACCAGAGAGCCGAAACCTTACTCCCTCTCCCACTGATCTACTGACGACCTGCATGGCAGAAAACAAGAAGATACATGCCTTATTATAAAAACTTCTCTAATCATTCTAAAAACATATAAGCCATTCTGATCCTTTACCTAAAATGAAGGTATATTCCCTGCCAATAGTATATTAGTATAAAAGACGGTTCATGGTAATATATAACTATAAAATATGGTTCATAGTAATACAAACACATAACTATAAAATATGGTTCCAGTCATTCAGAAAACACTGTGCAATTCTTGTGCTAAACCCTGGAAAGCTCCTCATGTCCTTAGCCAGTTCCTATTTTATATTTACTGTCTTCTATTTCACTATTTAAAGGTTCTATTATTCCACTGCTACTGCATTCACTCTGTGTCTAGAATTTGGCATTTCATTCAGTTCTTCTTTTTTTTTTTCCAATTAAATTAAGAAAATAGCTACAAACTGACAAAAAAAAAAAAAAAAAAAAAGAAAGAAAAAAAGAAAAAAAGAGCATATTCCACTGGCATAAAGCATACTTATTTCACAACACTTGCAATACCAGAGAGCCATCACACATTATTTTCCAATTAGTCAGTCCTTTTTATTAGCCATTGTAAAGTTGTTACAAAATAGACTATTTTTATGTTGGGTTTTCCCCCTCCTGTACCCTTCTACTCTCTTCCTTTCCCAGGATTTTACACCAAGAAAAAACACCCTCCTCATGAAAATATCTGGGTATCCTGCCCAGAACTCTGCTTAGTAATGCAGTTGGAATTCCTCCACTTTCCAAATTTATATGCATGTTTATATATACACACACATGTGTATGGAAACTCCTTGTTACCATCATTATCTTATATCCCCATAAGGAAAAAATCCCTAAAAATCCAGTTTCAAGGCTGTCTCACATTAGAGACAGTGCATATGTAAACTTGCAGAGCTACACAATGTTTGTTATAAGCTACATGCTTTGCAGATTTCTATTTGTACACCAGAATCTAGAAGGATTATAAATTAATCTTGCCTTTTAAGGCTAACAATCTTGCCAAGCCATTCCTTCCCTCTGCTGTTTCATGTTCTTTTGTTTCTCTCAATTTTATATCATTAATATTTCCACAGAAACATTAAGTCAAATATTTATATGCTGGTCTGAATTACAGCTCAGGAAGAGGAACAGTAAAACTGGCCTTAGAAACTTGGACCTGCTCCCATTTTGAGATAATAAATGTGCAGGGTGTTTAATAATGTCCCTAAGGAAATACATGTTGTTGCCCTATTGTGCTGGGTTCAGCAATGCTGGTTTGCAGATTACTGGGCAGCGAGGTTTTGACTAAACTGCATAATCATTATTCCTTTATTTTAATTGAGAAAAAATTGCCACAAGTTATGAAATAGGAAACCAGCATTTTCAGAGATAATGTTTAAATTCTCAAACCCTTTAGGGAAGGGAGAAATTTTAAAGTAAAAACCTCTTTTACTTATTTTTCTTCCTCCTTCCAAGTCAGAAACACTAATGGATGAAGTTTTCTCCTCATGTATTTCTGAATATATCATGCCAAAACACCAAGGCAGACAATGCTTCAGGTGATGAAAGGGCAAAGTAACTCTGTAACTTCAGTTTTGTGATGAAACTGAAACTTCTTAGTTCCTAATGGAAAGTTCCCTTCTGCTCAGTTCATTTTTTTTTTTTTTTTTCCGGACCAACCTTTGGTATTTTTAACACCAAACCTAAAAATACATGTTTTTTCTTGACATAAGGCTAGGCTTATTATTTTGTAATGTCATGGCCATTGCCCATTTTTGCAGCAAGAAGATGAATTGATCATCTTCTGCCCTGATTTCTGAGACTTTTGACAAGTGCACTTTACCCAATGTAAGAACACTGGTTTGAAAGGCCTGAAGTCAGTCACAGGCCAGCACAAAAATCTAATTCAGAGATGTCTATGCAAACATTACCTGTCTGTGGCAAATTTAGGATGCTGTCTAGGTGCAATGCCCCAGTTGTAACAAGCCACAGAAAGAAAGCAAAACAAATAATGGCCTTTGCAAGGGCATTTATCAGAAAAATTCCATATAATCACATACAGATCTTTCTCTACACTAGATAGAAAGATAGGAGTGCAATAAAAACAACAGTAATAAGGGTACCTGCAAAACTGACTGGAGGGGAAATTTCTTGTCAACTACAAATCTGACAAAGATCTTAACCCTGAGTTTGATGGCAAGCCATCTCAAGAGATTTGTACTCCATGGAACTACAACACATCCCATGTCTCATATGTCATCCACACTTTAGCTGTAAACCATTCTTCAGAATATACTGTATAGGACCAACAGAGATACCAGACAGCAGAGCCCTTTTCTAATTGACTGCTGTGTCCTTACAGCTTGTTTAAAACTGAAGGAAATTTGTCACATTCATGGTGCAAGCATTTGCAGATCCTGCTTTCCAAACTATTTACCCCTCTTTGCATGTAGTTATTGCACAGTGAGTTATGATTGATATAGTAATCAGAAGCTTATGTTAGAGATGCTCCAAGTATCGCTGCATTGTCTGTTCAAGAGCAGCGGTGATTGCACAGAAAGTAATTTTCAGAAAATATTCTTTAAAGTGATTAATTAGCCACAAGAGGGAGCTACAAACTCCCAGGAATGTGAGGAAGAGCATTAACATCTCCCAATCAGGATGCTTATATAGTGGCTGCATAGTTCAAAGAAAGTGAATTTCCCAGTTCACACTAAGATCAGTACAATGAAAAGTTTAATAAAAATCAGGCTTAATTTGCCATATGCTTGGTGCTTTAACAAGAGCAAGCAAGAAAGGAGGATTGCCTGATACCTCCTCTGGCAAGACTGTTATTCTGAACACTGCCATAAACACAGCACTGTTCATATGAAAACTTCCTAGCTCGTAATGTATTTACACAATGATAGTTCCCCAATTTACTGGCTGAGAAAAAAACAAAGCCCGATTATTTCTGCTGGAATGTTTGCTTTCGTACTTCATTCTTTCACATTTCTAAAATATGTTAAGGACTTTCTCACAGTTATTGCTACCTGGAGCCTAGACAGAAACACTTATTTCCAGAAATTATTCTCAGCTTTAGGAATTTCAATGAAGGTTATAACATTGAAAATATCTGCACTGTATGACAGTGGCTAGGTATTGCATATCAAGTCTCTTCATTCTTAGAACATGGTCTAGCAGCATAGACCCAAGCAGCAACCTACCAAGAATATGCATAATTCAGGCGTACTTGATCTGGCCTCCTACTTCATACTTATTTATTTTTTCTCTTGTTATGATCTCACAATTCAAAAGGGCTCTTGGTTTTGCATAGACAGATGGCACAGGCAGGATAGAAGCTAGCTGGGCAACCCACAATAACGTAGACTCTTGAAGGCTATTTCCTCATCCAGGATCCAAAGGACAGTATGAGATGAAGACACAGACATTACTCATTTTCCCATACCTTATAACACTTTCCATGTCAGGGGCACATTGGAGAATAAATGTATTGAAAACTGAAGTGATCAATGCTATCCTTGTCAGGGCCACATGTATAGAACCCAAGACAAACTAGGGTTTTTTGTTGTTTCTCGGGGGGTTGTTTTTTCTCAAAAAAGGCAGAAACCCTGTGATTCTGTTGAACTAAAAGACACTTTCAAGAAAACAGTGGTACTTAGCTGACAGAATTTGCTTTTTTTGCTGAACCATGGCTAAAACATATTTACTTAGCACTGTTTTTCAGCTGACATTATGTATCCCTTCCAGCTAAACTCATTTCAGCAATGTGATCCCGTTGCAGGTTTATCGCAAAAGTAAATCAGAGTGTTCTCAAGAGAAGAAGAGAAATACAAGAAGCCACAATGTCCCCAGAGAGAGACTTCACATTTCTGCATCCCCAGCAAAACCAGCCTTAAACACGCCATCCCAGCTTACCAGTTCCATTCTTTTAAGAAGTGTTTGCCTCAATGATTTCCACAGCTTCTTAGTCCTTGACACCATTTGAATTAGAGATGCATTATAATAATTTCATTTTTTAATTAGAAAACAAATCCCATCCTCAGACAGGAATATTTGGTTCATACCCCACTACTCTTCCTTTCAGAGCATTACTCTCTCGTGTTTTTTTTGGGGGTGGTTTTAGTGATTACCCCTTCCCATGCCTCCTAAGAAGCAAACTTATCCATGGAATAGTAAGAGGTGAACTATTTTTCTCCTTTAATCACTGTACTACACAGGAGCAAAGCAACAGTTTAGGCCCATAAGCTCTCATACAAGCATTTAAACAGACGGTCCCTGTTCTGACATACTGAAAATCAGTCTTTGCAGTCAGAGGCTCCTTCTGCTCTGTACTGACTGAAATTATCTTTCAACCAAAACAGATGCAAAATATTCCCTTCATCATTCAAAAACACTAACCAACAGAAACTATTTGTTTCTGAAACTATAAGCTAAACATACAAAAAACTGTTATTAGAACATATAGAATTTGCTGAGTTTAATAATTTATTAAATCTATTGGTTCTCAATACCTCTAACTGCACTTTTTACAAGTGCACCTTTCTACCCAATATAAGAGCAGTTGGTTTGAAAGGCCTGAGGTCAGCCTCAGGCCAGCACAAATATTGCATTAGAGGAAAATCTGACTCTGAGAGGCAATGTTAAATGTAGAACAGCTCAAAAGATTCCATTAAAAAATACTGGATAAAATAGTTAAACATGGGAACCAAATGCTGCTCTTTGTCAGAGGGAGACATACTGGCCAAATTTGACCTTTGTTTTCTCTCTGACTAGGACTTTCTTCAGAAATCATTCAGCATATGGGTGACAGCCAAGAACATCCAGGTGGTTTTTTCACATAGCTAACAGTAACAGAAATTATAAAGCTCCTCTAAGTGACTATGCCCTTTGGTCATCATAATTAGGGATAAAACCAAACACATTACATATCAAAATACATATTTTAGGTGACACTGCACTTCTGCCCATGGCAGGGGGTTGGAACTAGATAATCTCTAATGTTCTTTCTAAC